CTCGGTTCCGAAAGGGGGAAGAATCGAGTCCGGAAGAGGATTAAAAGATTCTAACGCGTTAATATAAACCCGAATGTGGTGTCGAGAGGCGGGAGGACGCATTCTTTGACCAGAAATATCGAGAATGACAGGCCTAACGCTTACTCCAACATTTCATTTGCCAGATCGAATCCGCATTTGGTAACTTTTCCGAGAAAACCTCCGAAACGTCCCGTATAGTCGTCCGCCCCAAACACTGGCGTATCAGAAAATGGGAGAAGTCGAAGAGATTTGCTTCCTCCACTTTTCTAATACTCGAGTATTGTTCCAAGTACGAAGGCCTCGTCTAACTTATCGATTTCTAACGTACTAACGTCTTTTTTAAGCTACGAAATGCCACCGTAAGCGGGACGAATCGATAACAATAATGGTAAGCAAACCCCGTCCAGGCAGAAGGGCTACTACAGAAAAGGGACTTTAGACGGAAAACTACGCTAATTGCGCTTTTCCTCGGAATCGTAGGGCCCCGGCTGGGGCGGTAAAGGAAAATTTAGTAGTAAATATGGTAAAAAGTACGAGACGTACATCGTTAAAGACACTTAAGAAACTTTCACGTATTTACCGATTGCGTAAAAATGCCAAAGGAATACGAAGTATACCAGCGCTCCGTCTTCCTACGGCGCGTAAACGCTGTCAATAAATGCCATAGAACAGTGTTTTTCCACCTTCTCGAATACGCCATTCTTTACCAGTTAAAAAATTCTGGTCACCCCTCTAGGGCCATATTAAAACTATATCGGTGACTTTAAAAACAAATTATTGTCGATTAAAATGAAAATTTCGGAAGGATCGACAATAACTTAACACACATAAAGTACGAAACTTCCTTTAATTATAACATTAGGCACAGGCAACTGTCGACTTTCTGTTTTTCTTAGGATCTGAATTTTCAGCTTGTACTTTTCTACTTTTTATTTCTTTTTGCCAATCGACACTTCTTCCCCTATCATTTTCTGGGGTGGGCCGTAATTCTGGCCGAAATTGTAGTTTTTTTAATGTAGTGTAGGACCTACAAACGCTCGTCTTTTTCTTTTACCCGCCACCCCCTGGAGTCGCCACCCACGGGTCGAAAAACACTGCCATAGAATATAGGCTATTTTATAGAAAATCTATCTCTGCCCTGGGCACGTTTTAATATTTCTATATCGAATACACTTGTTTCCATAGATAATATAGCTTTATATTACACGCGCCGTACGTCCGGTCGTTTCCGTAACGGGTTATTTTACTATAAGCGTATTGTATAAGAAAGGAATAGAACATTATAGGAAAGACGAGTGTTCTTACAATTAATATAAACTTTGTTGGTTCCCGCAGCCGACGGCCTCCTTAAATTAGAAAAGAGCTTAGCAACGATTCTTCTGTTTATACAATAACATTTAAAGAAATAAAGATAACAGGCAATTTATTTTTCTAGCCAAGAAAAACTGATATCAATCAAAAATGCCTGGCCACAGAAAGAACGTCGGGAATGTCCCACCGCTTACGTCAGTTTTCCACTAATCCAATTGATAGAAAACACTAATTTTGTCTTTCTTAATTGTTAAATCAACCTCCAAATGCTAACGAGACACTCGTTTTGACAGCTCCCGGCAGCCTGGTCGGTCACCCCATCGATTCTTCCCTACAAAACAAACAATCCCCTTAAATTTCTAACTATAAAACTATTTAACCGTCCGCCATTTTGTACTTCTTTTTTCAAAATGCCTTCCACGTAAACGCTTTAAAAGCGTAATTATATTGTAAATTACTCGACAATAGGCTGGAAGAATACGACGTAAAACTTTTAAACCATTAAAAAAGAACCGTGGCCGGATTGGTTAAAATTTGTCACCCCCGAAATTCGACCGTTGGAAACGAAAAGGGGTAGAAAGGACTAGTTTAATGCCTTTAAAATAAGGATTATTCCCTAATTAATAGAGTTAAAGGTAATAAAAATAATACGCCGTAATTATTATCGGAAAAAAATTGAATGGACGAGAATTAAACCGGACATTTCGCGTGATTAATATAGAAAGGCGATAAAAACTATATAAATAAACAATTAATTAGCATTTTAATGCGATAAGAACCTTTGCAGAGCGATAGTAAAAGAGATAACGTTGACTAACAAAACCAGACTTTTCCACCCTGCAAATGGCGGACGGCCAAAAAAAGTTAACCGACTTTTGGTCAGGGCCCGGTTGCAGAAAGTATTAAATAATTTGAGGTTGTCGGCACGGAATTAACCGGCAAAATTCCACTTTTTTTTTTATGTTAATTAAGGTAAAAAACGGCTGCCTTAGCGGGGCCGTTGGAAAATACTAGAGGTAAATTTGTTACGCTCGAGATGATCCGAACTCGATTAGTGTACGAAGCCCGATATCTCTTCGAGTATAGAATTTTGATGACGGTTACGTTTGTACTACTTTCGTCACACGTTACGTTCGACGTTAATTTCTCCAACCCATACGCGCTTTACTAAGGTTACGTCGTCGAACGTAACCGTCGGAATAGCGTAGTAATCGCCTGGAAAGTAGCGAAACGTAACCGTTACGAGATAATCTAGGCGAGATTTCGGTTAAGGAGAAGATTAAGAGAGAAAATAGAACGTGGCAGCGCCAGACACCATCCAAAATGGCCACCGAAAATGCGGTTCGAGTCGAGGGTTTTGTTAGTAAATGTGGTTTTTGGTCCGATTACCGGCTTCTTCCGTTATTCTAGATCTTCCTTAGAAGATAAGGCCGTCCCATCTTTCGATTAATGTGGATCGCACGCGATTTTCTTTCTGGAATATTTCCTCCTCGCCCCGGGACCCATGTCGTCCGGATAAATGCCACATTTATCACGCGGGCCGGGGGGAGAGAGATTGAAGACGACGCAATTTACGAGTTCCCGGCCAAGAAAATCTGCTAATTTGCCACTCCGAGACGTATTACTCGAAATTCGGGTGCCTAAAAATAAGAGGGTGCTGGGTCCTGGTTTCCATGGGGAAGGGAACGGTTCCCTTCCATCTCCGCGCTATCGAAACGGAGAATGGGACCCATTTTCTACCGGGGGGCAACAAAGAAGAGCGGTTAAAGATGACGTTTTCTAACCCCGCCGACAATCAAAAACGACGGGGGGTGAGGGAATTAGCTTATACAAACGGCTAGTTTATCGCTGTCAAAGCGCGTGTTTTTAGTATTCAAAACACATTTAGCCACCGAGATAATTCCTGGGGGAAGCTGGGAATTGCCAGAGTTTCCATCCGAATAATCGCGCCAGAGGTGTGACGTCACGCAAATCTGGTTATCGGCCCCGGGCCGGGCGCCGATAATTGGCGGCAATTAGCGACGACCGGCGACGGCGGCGGGGCCACCGGCGCGTGCGCCCGCGCGGCGCCGGATCCGAAACGGCATCGGATAACCCCGGAAAAGGGACGGGGATTTTCGGCCCCCCGGGCCCGCGCGCGGTGGGCCGTCCGGTCGGGTGAGGAAAGAAACCCGGCCGCGCCGCCATTCATAAAAAGGCCGGGAGAAAACGTGAATGGACACTCTTACTACGACGGAGAAGCACGCGCCGGTATCGCTTCTCGATCGATCGGCGCATGCTTAATGCCTAACGGTTAACCGGGCCTTCCGACGTCGGGCCCGATTATCGATCTTTCCGCCGATAGAAACCGGGCCGAACGGGGGAATCGCCAGACGACGGAGAGCGAAAAATGTAATTCTATTAATATTTATTCCTCGCTCGACGGCCCGTAACAGCCGATAATCGTCCTTTGATTATCGGTTGTTATTGGGCTCGAGTCCTCTCCCCCCCTCCGGGCCGGCGAGGAATTTACGTGAGCGCAGACACGCGAGGAAAGAGTGGCGATAACTACCCCCCCGCCACAAGTGAAGTATGGAAATGCGGTAAAATTAAGAAAAAATTCCTCAAACCAGGATAAACGCGCCACGTCCCCCCGGAGGGGCCGAGACAATGGCTAATTTCGTCCGAGCGAAAATAGTATCGCAACCTCCAGAATTGATAAAGCCATCCGAGACAAGGAAGGGAGGCCCGCACGCACGCGCGCCAACTTTGCGTGTCGGAAAGAGCGCGAGAGTTTACAAAAATAAGTCGCTGTTTTTTCGGCAGGGGCGCTCCGTTACGGACACCGCGTGGTCCGGGGGTGCAAAGTCCCGGGTCGGATTTTTAATATTCGTAAAGGCTCGACTGGAAAACACTGGTCGGAACGGCCAGCAGAAACTCGGAAAAGTTTTCCAGTTCGGGGGAGGAAAATCCCCCGCCCGTCGATCGATCCGCGGAAGGAAAAACACCGAGAATGGAAAGCGGGAGGGGCGGGCCCGGGGACGGCCCGAGAGGGGCCGGGGCATCGGCGGGCCGCGGAAAAGACGGGAGGCCGAGTCGGGGGCGCCCTCTTTCGTTCGTTAGAGACCGACGGCGGGGGGGGAGGCGACGACGTTTACTTACTTGACGAGTGGCCAATCCGCCGAAGAAAAAAAAGGGCCATCCGACGGCGCAGTCGGTGGAGACCTATTAAATGGCCCGAGTGACGAGACCGGCCGCCGGGTGGCAGAAGCGCGCGGCGGCGTCTAACAGCCCCGCGGCGTGGCGCTAGTGTAGCAGTGGAGGCGACGCTGTCTGTCACCCGGCGAGGCGGGACTTGCTAAACCCACCCCTATGGCGCGACTATTGGCAGCTCCAGTGTTTCGCCTCTACGGCGCTAACGCCGCCGCTTCCCGTCTTATTACCCCGGAGGCGCCGGGCCCCCGGTCGGGCCCGCCGGGTGGGGACCCGGGGGCGGGCGGGCCCCGGGTTTTTGGCCCGCGCGGGGAGAGAGCGGCGGGCCGGCGGCCGGAAACGGGCCATCGTCACGTGCCGGGCCGAGTTGTCAAACCACAACCCAAGGTGTCGAAAGTAGCCAATAGGAATCTCATTATCCGAGTTCCGGGGCCGACGTGCGATTTATTGAATGAAGGTTGCCACCAGACGCGGCTGTATTGTGCAACGTCACAGCGTTGGCGCCACTCGGACCGGGGGAGCGCAGACAACAGAGAATAGCTAATCACTTCGGATGGTGCAAGCGTCACTTCGGACGGGTACGCCTTAGTCTGGCGAAGGGCTAGAAGGTGAGCGCTCGGCATCTGTGCCGCTCCACGGTGTGTTAAGCTCGTCGCCGAGTGACGATCGGATCCAGGCCGGACGTGTGCCGAGGTGCCAGGACGGGTGATTGGTGGGGAAGTGGACGAGTGCAGACTCGAATTGCGGCCGTTCGCTCCTCGCTTCGCCCTCCCTCCCCCCCGATTTTTCCACAACAGACGAGAAACTGTCCGAAATGCGGCTGTGATTGGCTCGCTGCGAGCAAATAACCAATCGAGGGACACCGACCAGTGACGGGTGCCAAAGTCGACGGTAGTCCAGCGCCATTTCTGACACCGTTGGAGTCGAAGTTGTGGCCCGGGCCGGCGACTCACCCCAGCCGTCGCGACTCCAGAAGTGATTCCATGAGATTCGAACCATCAGAGTTGGTGCAGGGGATGGCCTATCACCCTTTCATCATACCCCCGACCAGACAGACGGACTTCAGTATGAACTCCATCCTCACCCAACCTCAATATCTGTCGGCTCTCACCTTCAACCCGGTGGCGGCCGCCGCCGCCGCTGCCGCTCAGGGTTATCCTCCCGGCCCGGCGCTCTTCCCCAAGTTGCCACCTCCCATGCCCGGGCCCCCTCACATCACGGCCGAGGACGTCCTGGGCCACCAGGCCCACTTCCGCCCGCTGCACGGCTTCGAACCCGAAGAGGACGGAGTTCAGGACGACCCCAAGGTGACGTTGGAGTCCAAGGACCTGTGGCAGAAGTTCCACGCCCTGGGCACGGAGATGGTCATCACCAAGTCCGGCAGGTGAGTCCTTCTTTCTCCGCAAATTTCCCTAATTCTACGGAAAAACCCCCGGAATCCACCGTCGGTCGGGAGGGATTTTTAGGGTTAAGACGGGCAGTGGCGGCCGTCGATTACGCCCCATCGACTGGTCGTTTGGGCCACGACTTAAGAATCCCGGTGGCGCGGCGGGGGCAGAATCTTACGCGTCGCGCGCCGCCGGGGAGATGCGAAGTAGACGTGCCAACGAGAAGGGAAACAAAAGGAAGCCAGGCCGACCTTTCCACCTCTTAACATTTGCTAAGTCCATAGCCTAGAGCGCGTCGGGTCGGTACCGGTTGTTACGGGTAATGAGCGGGTGCTTTCCCCCACCCCCAAAATTATACCCCCGGCCGGGAGGTGTTAGTGATACAAACATTACTCGCCTGCAACAAACGGTGGTGTTGACAGCGAAAAATACGGCCCAAGTAGCGGTAGGACTAACGAGGCCTAGCTGTGCAAACAAGCCGAGTGCGTGCCCGGCAGTGGCGCGGGGGGAAACGCCCCGCCGGCACAAACACAGAAGGTCCGAGTGAATATAAAGTGGCCCGTTTGGCCCGGCCTAAACCCTCGTCCTCTTCCGACCTTTCGGGGCGCCATCTTTCCCTCGTCCTTCCAAATTTCGTCGGCCGGTGTTTTACGGCCAGAAATTCGTGGCATCTTCTAATTGTCTCGGCGCTTACCGCGTGTCCCAGACCGTCCCCGTCGTAACTCACCTTCTTCGCCTGACATTAACTCTCGGCCTGCACCAATGAAGGCGCTCGAGACTCGGCCTGGCCGTCTTCCCAGTAAATAAAATTGTTTTACTGCCCGGCACCTTGTAATCGCCTGGCGCTGGCGGGATCGGCTCCCGTCACTTCGGCCTACCTTCGCCTCCAAAACGGCCCTTTTTCACACCTGCTAGCCATTTTCCACCCCCCGAAAACTTTGCCACTTTCTAACTGCAAACACCGCTTTAGCTGGCAGCGTAGCCTACCCAAATTTACGCCCGGCACGTGGGAATAATGGGACTTAGGCCGACGGAAACTCGGCCTAAGTGGCTAACTGGCATCGGACGGGGTAGCGAGCGCGTGGCTTCTTACGGAGGTGGGCCGGAAACCTTTGATCGGTGACGTCACGGGCTAGAAAAGAGAGCGAGAGAGAGAGACCGAGAATGACAATTAAATAACGTACTTTGCCACGCATGCACGAGTCGGGTTTGTTGTGGCAGCACGCGGAGCGCACGCCGAGCAGAGACAATAAGGGAAACGTGGGGCAAAAACATCGTCTTCCGCTAACGAAGCCTTTTTTGGCGGCGCCATCGATTTGCAATTTACGTCAAGACACACTTAATTAACCTTCTCGCGGCTCGCGCCTTCTCTGGGATTCGGAACCCGAGACTGCAACAATTGCCCCCTCCCTCCCACTCGTTCGGGCTTTCTCCTTATCGTCGGTTCCGTCACGCGAAAGACAATCGAGAATGACATCATCCGCCATCGGGCCAATTAGCAAAGGGAATGTTTTTGCTTTCGTCACGCTTACTTTCCTAAAGTCGCGTCGACTAATTGGTCTGCCCCGTTCCCTTGCCGTTTGTCGTAAACGGCCGGGGACGAGAACGACGTCGACCCGGTGGGCCCGACAAATTTCCACCTCGGCCTCACGTTCTCCGTCCTCCGTCTTTCAGGTCATGTTCGGCAAATCTAACTAGGAATTAGCGGTTTGTCCGTCGAGACCGGGCCGAGAACGCGTTCTGAAACAAAATCTACAGCAAATACATCTATTAGATTGGACAATTCCTGGGGGACGGGCCGAGCCAAACGCTTCTCGTCATCGAAATTCTCCCGATGCGCCCAAACTTCCACGGGTTCCGAGGGCCTTAAAGTCCCCTTCTTTCTATACTAAACTCCCGCTTTGGCTCCGGCTTAAAGGGCCTAGTTTCTTTGCCAACCTCCCGAGGATCCATTCTCGTTTCTGGTCTTTGACAGCCCGAGTTCCATCTCTAATTAATTAGGCTTTCATTTCCAACCTTCTATTTTTGAAGCTGGGTCGTAAAATCCTCTGTTTCGCTAGGGTATTCCACTACTAACGATCCGTTTCTGCAAGAAGTACTTCTTCCCCACCTCCTACAAAGGTTATATTTTTAGTCTGGCACTTTGAAATTTCCGATTTTCCGTCTTACGCCGGTGGCGGCCTACTTCCAGTCTTCTAAGGGCCTAGGATACCTCGTCCCCCGTCCGCGGGGTGGCATTTAACCTCCGTTTTCTGCCCTTACCATTCTCCGTGCCCGAGTTGCCAAATCAGAAAGGGGTTAAGACCGGGGTTTACGCCGCCGTTAAGGGCCTAGTTCTGGTGTTCTTTCCATTTCGCCGGTGCCAAAGTCCGTAGAAGTTGACCAGGATCGAGTTTTACTGGCACTTCACACAAAAACTTGTTTCGACTTATGTAACCTCGAAAGATAAGATACAGAGGTCGCCCATTTCTGTCCTCGGAATAACAAGTGTCGATGTGATCACACTCCAGATGTCGTCATATTGTAGCCGGGATTCTCTCGACACGGAGGTGACAAACGACCGTGCCCAGTAAGTACAGAAACGTTCGATGGTACTACGCGTATATGGCTGGGCCTGCCCAGGCCTACCTCGGCTCCACGCGCCGTCCTTGGGGCTCGAAGTGTTGCCATTTCTCGGTTGCTGATGTAAGGGATGTTCGCTCTTTGTCAGGTTGCACGATGGTAGAGATGATAGAACACGTCGCACGTTCCCAATTGTGACGTTCTAGGTTTTCTGACCGTCCAGATAAGTTAAGTTAGCCGGCTACCGATAAAGGGGCAAGTTTTCGAAAGATTGGGAGGGGGCCGGCCGGGGCCGAGGATTGTTTAACACTCCGAAGTGGCGCGAGAAGGGGACGGATGGCAAATAGTTATTAGCGGGCGAAAGAAGGTTCGAAAGAGAAGAGATTGGCCGGCCCTAGGCCGAAGGAGAAGGCAAACAGTCTTGTTGACACAGGCGTATTTACATGTTTGGATTGCAAATTCCTTCGTGTCGATCAATTCGATCGAAATCCTCCGCTTCGTCAAATATTCATGGCTTATCAAAGTGTTGTCGAGTGTCTCGACTCGATAAAGGCCTCTGAATTATTGCCGACGTCTAATTGACTTCTTAGCAAAAACAGTTCTTACCCGTCACGGCAACAATTTAACACCTTTTCACCAACTTTTTGTACGTTTTAGTGCGGTCGTAACACCTATTTCTGAAAAATTCTCCTATTTTATTAGTCCAGTTAACCGGCCACTTCTTTCTGTAGTACCAGCCAAGTAACCTGACATTTGTCTCGTCTTCTATCCATAAGTGGGCCCCGTATATTCCAATTGTTTTCCTGAGGGTTTAAGTACGGGAACGTTGGCGTGTCTGTTCAAATTTCTAGTTCTGTTCGTCTACGTTCATCCTCACAGATAGCACCGGTGACAGATCTCACTCCCAACCTACTAATTTAGCCGAATATTAATTAAACGGGTGCGATTCGAGTTACGAAGTGACATTAACGAATAGGCCTTCGAACGGGAATAATCTCGGAATGGTTTCTAAAACAATTTTTGTGGAACAGGTTGGAGATTTTGACCAGGAGCCAGAGTAAATTGCACGTTTCTGCTAGGGCAAACTAAACAATGGTTTTGGTAGTGTTGCAAATTTCTAAACGCTGGTAGGTTGTGTTAAAATGCGAATACGACACACCGTTAGTCGGCAAGATTTCTGTTTATTCTCTTTCTCTACGCTGGGTGATGTTCCGTCACAATAGAATACGCGTAAAACAGATTTCATGCAGTTTTCGATGGGAAGGCCACCTCCGCGCGCATTATTAAACGATAAACGTAGGTGTCTTTATTTAGCCAAAGATAAACATTAAACATCAACACCTGTATACAATTAATTGTTTAGTGCTTTTCCACCCCCGGTTAGACCTTAACAGTTGTTGTAAATGTTCGGCTTTCGATACACGACGATTTATACACCGTTCCGCGCAATGTAAACACGTTTAGACAATGGTGGGATGCGAGTAGTTTTATACCCACCGCCATTTAGGGCCCCGTTCGCCTCCGAACGGGTTTATAGGTCCCGGTAGAAGACGAAGGCAGAAATCGGTGTGGAAGAGCAGCCCGTAACGCCAACGAGAACCATCCTTTAGGTCTAAATCGAGCGGAACGACATCCACCCCGGTTAAGTATCTTCGGCCTTTCGTATGATCATCTAGTAAGAAGACCGGGATTAGTTTGGTCGAAGCTAATAGCGCGCGAATAATAATTGGATGTTTCTGGTACCGGATGCCTCATTAGTTTCTGGGATTGTACCACGTCCGCTAATAAGCGACCAGACTAGTGTTTACTCCCTCGCTCTCGTGTCCTCATATACGGTTAATTATCGAGACCGTTAAGATTCTCCGCAGCTCCCAGTCGAAAAATCTTACCTTTTTTGTCGACTCCCCCAGGCCCGACGACGGGAGAACCCGGACATTTTCCACCTCCGTCGTCCGGCCCTTTTTCAATGCAAAAAGCAAATAATACAAACGCCAAAATTTATTACACACCACGAAGTGTTAAAAGAAGCGCCAAATACCGGAGAAGCCAGCTTCGCAGCGTTTCACTCGGATGCCTCTAGGGCCTTTCTAGGTTTAGAAATCTCTCGAGGTTTATATTTAGACTGTTAGAAACGTTATCTACCGTAAAAGTGAGTAAAGTTTAATTTTTAGTGTATAAAACTGGAGCCGAGCTTACAAAACGGCCAAAAATTTCCAGCGTTTTTTGCCCCTTTCCGTATTTCCCGGTGTAATTCGGTGGTAAATGCAAAAAGCAAAGAGTTAGAATAGGCGAAATATATACCGGACACCCTACTTTTGGGGTAACACGCGTTAAAAGAAGAACCAAACACTTACGAAGGACGATTTGCAGTGTTTCGGTTTAGGCCCTCTAGGCTCTCTCTAAGACAAAAGGTTTTCTGGCGTAACTTACGTTAGGTGTTTACTAACACTAAAAGAGTATAAATGTCAATTTCCAGTGTCTACAACGGAAACCTAACTTAAAAATGGCGTTAATATTTTTATACAGAGCGAGTGTTTATGGAAAAGTCATGGCTGGAAATCGTCCTTAGAAAATTGCCAAGGCAAACCTTCAATTTTGCACGGACGAAGGGATTGGTTTTTCCAGCGTCGACGTCAAAAGCGTATCATTACGGAAAAATCACAGCCATTTTCCTAACACAACTAAACACCTAGACGTCTTTTTAAGGCAGAGAATAGTCTTTGATGTAGATAGCGGCGTTTGTACGACTGGCGGTGGCTTTCCTTTGTCCGCTTTCTATAAATACGCGTAGAAAACGTGTCACTCGTCAAAATCATAACGGGGAAGGCCGATTACCGCTAACGAAAAGTAATCGCCATCCCCCGGGAACCGTGTTTATTGTTTTTATAACTGTAGTTACCGTTGCCCGTATCAATTTTCCTACATCTCTACACGTTCTCGGATCTCGTAGGTGTATTTTACATTGTTTTTCTGGTGTTTCCCGTCGACCGGGATGGCTAGGAAAATTTATAGCTGGGTAACACCGTTCGACTTTCGCATACTTTATAACACCGGCCATCGGTAGCACCGGTGTTACAAACGGCCTGGCGTAGGAAAACTGGTCGAAGCCCGCCCGTATTACGAGTTACGTGTTTAGCGTTTCTACAGCCCAAAAACTATTCTAGGCCACTTTATTGTTTTTTCAAGGTGAGCTCGACAATAGTTTCTCCGAAATTTACTGGTTTTCGGGTGATTTAAACGTTTATTAAATAAGCAAACAAGGCATTTGATAGCCGATTGTGATAAAAAAGAAAGGAGGCGACGATGCTACGTAGGTAGAACGTCACTTTCTCTTACACTGGAAAGTTTTGCCGGCCAATTTTATTACGTATAAAGAAGGCCGTGTCTGCCGTTTTTTAACAGAGGCGAGGGGGCGAAAAGCTTTACCAGTAATCGAAGACGGAGGCTTCCTTCGATAGAAGACTTTGGTGGAAAAGTAGAGAATCGCTAATGGCGACTAAACTAATTTCTTTGTCCGAATGGGGTGTCGTAACAGCCGGGCAGAAGAGAAGTACCCCCACGGAGACCGGCTCTCTAATCGTTATTCCGCGCTGGCATCTGGCAACCCCTTGGTTCCGCCGCGGACTCCCGAACGACCCCCGTCGAGCCTAGGGCCGCCTCCCGTCCTCTTCCCATTGGACGAAATTCGTTCCACTCGATTCTTTGGTCGATGACGCCGGGCCAGGGGCCCCCGACGATTTGGGCGAAAACGGCCGATTATCGGTCGTCCTCCTTCCACCGCCGCTAATTGACATCGGCCACAATTAAACGATCCAATTAGTGCCGAGACGAGGCGAATAATGGGCTAACGGAGATGGAGCAAACGTCATTTCGCACGCGTCTCCCTTTCTACACTCGGTCGGCGCTAAAATACGAGACGCCACCAGGTAGGCCGAGAGGTGGTGTACTGCCAAAACCGTAATCGGCACGTCGACTACGTCACCTTAGGCCTAACTTCTATATCCACTCGGCTGTCAAGTACCTTTGAAAAATGACTGATGACGGTTGGGATAAGTAAACACGGGCGCCCGTGCCCCGTTAGCTTCCCTCGGGGTGGCGATGGAAAAATTCCCTGACACCAGGTAATTAAGGAGGCCACGCTCGTATCGTTTCCTGTTAGATGTAGTACCGGGGTCGTCCCGTCTGTCTGCCTGTCCGCAGCGCGGAAGACCGGCCAAACCCCTCAACGTCGGGATTCCGCCGCGCGTTACGGCCCGGGACGGGGGTGAGGGACGGGCGTAACCTCTGGACGACCGGTCGGAAGGAGGTTAATTCGGCCACGGGACTAATGTAATTATTACGTGTGCCAATAAAGCACGGACGAGGCGGGGTCTGGAACGACCGAGTGAATGCACGCGGCCCACCGTCACGTGCCGCGTTAACATTAGCGACGGCACTTAACTCCACCTCCTTGGTATCCTGCCAATCCGCAGACTTAACTGCGGCACCCGGGAATATTTGCGTAGTTCGGGGAACGAGGGGGAGACGCCTAAAAACGACAAAACTCGGAGGTTAATGTTCCGGGTGGCATTAGGGTGATCCCGCGCGCGCAACGTCTGTCTTAAAAAGGAAAGGAGATTCGAGCGCCTCTTTCGAATCTCCCCCTTCCCCGTTGCGCCCGTCGATTGGCTGACGGGACGATCCCCCGACACCGGGGCCGTATCCAATAAAGAGGTTGGAGAATCAATGTTTTGTCTCTGTTGCAGGCGCATGTTTCCGGCCTACAAAGTGCGCGTATCCGGACTGGACAAGAAAGCCAAGTACATCCTGTTGATGGACATCGTGGCCGCCGACGACTGCCGATACAAGTTCCACAACAGCAGATGGGTGGTGGCGGGCAAGGCCGACCCCGAGATGCCCAAAAGAATGTACATCCACCCCGACTCGCCCAGCACGGGAGAACAGTGGATGCAGAAAGTCGTCTCCTTCCACAAGCTCAAGCTGACCAACAACATCTCGGACAAGCACGGCTTCGTAAGTAGCGCCGCCATCCCTCTTCTTTCCTGCCAGCGCCCGCAATTGGAACGGGGCCCGAGTGTCGATTTACTTTTTGTACGTGACAACAGACACAATTAACGCTCTTTGTTTACCCCCGGTTGCGCATTCGACATCTGGGACGGGTCGATCCCGCACAGATAAGCCGGCCCATTGTTTTTCCCCCTTCCAAGAAGCTAGCGATGTTTTGGCAGCGTTTAACCGCCGTCCATCGATCCCCGGCCTTCGATCCGCGCGCATCGATCCAGTTTACCACCGGATATGCAAAACGAGAAAAAAAAATGACCAACTTCACCCCGTCCGGCCATCACCTTCCCCGTCGAAGCAATAAAAATTCATTGACGGCCGAGGGTTGTCGTCCGTGACGTCGACTCCCGGAAACCGGCCGTACCGTTAGCCGGTGTCGCTAGAGCGGACGAGGGGAGAAGACGGGCGCGGGGCCCGGGAGCCCCTCGGTAGGAAGGAGTGGGATTCTTTCTTGCCATCCGGGATAATCCGTTTAGGTATCAATCGGGGCGCGCGGAAATCGACATAATAGAGCGGTGAGGCGGGGGGCCCGTTCGTCACGCTCCGGCGGGCCTCGGACGCTTTCGAAACCATTTAAAGTAGCATCTCGACCCAACGGCTGAATCATCGGCGGGAGTCTAAAGGGGATGCGCGCGCAACCGGCAGAAGTTGGAGTTGCGGTAATGAGGTGTCCGCCCGGGACCGACCCGCCTTCAATCGGGGCGCTGACGTCATTAGAGAGTCTCTTTTGACAAAACATCTCCGGGTGGCAGATGCTCTTCAGACCGTCCCACGATACGTTGTTTTGTCGTCCCTTTAGTTAGCGTGAGATCCGGTAACGGCAGCGGATAAGACGCCAGGTGTTCCCCTCTTCTCTTAAGGGCAACGACAATCGCGTTACGGAAACCAGCGCCCGTCACCCGGCCGCCCCCGGGCGCGTCGCGGCGGCGCTGGCGCGCGCGCCGATTTTTACACCCGCCTCGGAGTAGAGAGGAGAATGCCCGACGCGGCATCCGGCGTCGTCCTCTGGCGGCGCGTACAAAAGAGACGCGGAACCGAGCGTCCTCCTTCTCGGATCGTTCCAATTTTTGGATTTTTCCGGTCTACGGGGACGTCGGGACGCGCGTAACGCTATTAGAGGTGAGTCACGGCGGGAGGGAGAAGCCGACGACAGAAAGAGTGGATTTGCCCGTTGGTGAATGAATAATGCGTCGAGTCAAGTACAGGTACGAGGCACGTGTCCGCCGAGATGACAACCGGCGCGCCCGTTTACGTCCGCTTTGATTACCCACTTCTCGGCCGGCGTGTCGCGCGTCGCGCCGACGTTTCGGCCCCTCCCGCCCGGCGGATCGATGCCTCCGGGAGGCGCGCGACACGCGACGCCGCGCGCGGAGAGGGAAGCGAATCGGGCCCGAAATGCGGGCGAGAAAGCCGCGACGCCGTCGCGCGGCGGCGGAGGTGACGTTCTGGTATAAAAGACGAGGCCCCGGAGTGGCTATCGATCCAGCCGAAGCATTCTCCTTTCCAGTTGGCTGCCTAAAAGTTAACAAGCGGCCGAAGAGAACTCGTCTGTTCTTCAAAAACAAACATCTCTCGCTCCGTTCCCGGCCTTTAATGAGATTTTAAAGTCGTTTTCCAGAAATCGTCACGTGACGGGGGCCATTAAAAGCGGGTGCCGGAGAAACCAAAGACAATATTGACTCCCGCCGGGCGGGTAGCGCCGGTGGCGAATATCGAACCGGCTCTCGCACGTGCCGAGCGAAGACAAAAAATTAGTTTGTCTCGATAATCCGGGCCGCTTCGGGTCGGCACCCCGACCCCCCAAGACACGCCGACCGACCTGTACCGCTTCCACCCCACCCACTTCTTTCGATTTTCCGTCGACACCCCCGCCAGTTTCCGCTTTCCCACCCTGGGACCGGGTCCGAAACGCCCTCCTCCCCACCTTTTGCGCCGTGGTCCTAGCCGTTTCCTCGGATTGCCCAAAGTCTCCGAGACGTTTCGTAACTTTTACCCCGCTGTTGGGGTTCTGCCTTTGGTATTTTGCCGTAGAGACAGAATTCTCTATTCTCTGCCAGATCGACGGGGAAATTGGTCGAACCCCTAATGTTAAGGGAGGAGACGTCGGGTTAAGAGGGCGCCTACGCGGGGCGTTACGGTTCCCCTCGCCCGCGGGCCGATTTGCCCGGCAATTAGGCAAATTGGAAGGGGGCGAGGCGCGGCGCGCGCGCGCCGAGCGGAGAGGGAGGAGCGACGACGCTATTAAGCGACTTTTGTGTCGACGGAGGAGAAATCGAAAGGGTGGACCCCGTTTCCTTGTCGGCGATTTTTTCTTGCTTCGGCGGGATAATTAACTCGGCGCTAACCTCGTTATTTCATTAACTCCGCTTCGTTACACCGCTGATTGTTTTGTTTGCCTCCTCCCACTCTTCCCTCCCCGTAAAACAAGACGCTCGTTAAACCCTCCGGTTTTTTCCCGGCTGCCTTTTTCCACCTCGTTTTGTTGCTCCGCATTCCTTAATGAATAAACCATACGTCATTAGGCTCGCACGCGACATTCGCTCTTTAAGGTGACGCGCGTCGCCTTTGGTTAAACTCGCCCCCTCCTTTTCTTCTTTAACTGCCGGCGTTTTTCTGGACCCGCCCGGCGGACTAAATTACCTGGCTCTAAATGCCTTTTTTCTGCCTTTTCAGACCATTCTCAACTCCATGCACAAGTACCAGCCGAGATTCCACCTGGTTCGAGCCAACGATATCCTCAAGCTTCCCTACAGCACTTTCAGGACATACGTCTTCAAGGAAACCGAATTCATCGCCGTCACGGCCTACCAGAACGAAAAGGTGAGTGCCGGGTTCGGGCCCTCCGCCCCGACCGTAATCTCTATAAAGACCGGTGGCCCTCCGCATGCGGAAAAACGACACAATGGGCCCATTACGCGCTAACCGTCCTATTGTGTAGTCGAGCGTTGACCGGCCGATTGAATCCAATTTTCCTTCGGACACACGCTAAGGACGTCGTTCTCTGGAGAAAAATGCGGCCCGTCTTCACCCCCACCACCATCGACGCGCGGCGGCGCGGACGAGCCCGTGTTGAATCAGGCACCGTTCTGGCACAAACAGTACGTTCAGCTGTCCCTTACGGGGACGTCAAACAGCAGAAGCAATTTTTAGACGCGCAGCTGCGCACATACCCGCCAGTGTCCGACTTACCGACATTCTTGCCCCCTTTACGTGTGGCGCGCGTGACGGAAGGAAGTTCGGGATCCGGAGGAGGAAGCTTCCGACGGAGTGGACCGGAACCCACCGAATAGGATTTGAAATGGGGACGGAAGAATGGGAAGAAGGTGGATCGTTGCCGGGGCCTCCGGGGAACGCTAGTTTGGCTGGCTTCGTGAGGCGAATGGCGATTAGGAGGCAGTCGATGAAATTCCGTTCTTTGCCCGGCACCGAACGAAAATAAAGAACCCTCCAATTCGCGCGGTTTCGGGTTATTATCGTCTTTGCCTTTCTTTTTCTGGTGGCACTCGACAATCTGGAGCATCCTCTCCCCACTCTTTTTATAAAGTGGTATTAATTGGCGTAGCGGAGCAATTAACCGGAGGCGCCGAACGGGATTCTCCTTCCCAGCCAACTCATTTACCCATTGTGGACCGGGGTGTCGATCCGGAATTCTTCTTCGCTCCCAAGGCGCGCCCGGTCCCGGTCGTAAGTTACCACGAAGAAACAGATAGAACCGTTACGTCGAAGCGGAGCGCCTCGCAGCGCGGAGTGGTAAACGGTCGAGGTCGGTGGCCGCCCGGGGGCGACGCCGGCCGGAAGAAGCGTTGACCGGAGGAGCGGAGCGCGCGCGGCGTGGACGCATCTGGGAAACACTCTCGGACGATCTGTTGACAGTCATTCGCGTATCGAGCGAAGTCACGCAGTTTTCACGCTCACGCACGAGAACAATGGGTGGGTGCCGGTCACGGTCGGTCGGCCAGGACGGTGTCGGAGCGGATGTCCTTGCCTCACGCTATAAGAAGACGGCGATGGGTGGGGGTGGCTCTGAGAAAGCGTCAAAACTAGACTGGCCGAGGGAACTGGTCTTATCTCTCTCTTCTTATTGTCTCCTATCCACGTCCCGCGGCTTTCGTGACCCTTAACCGACAATCTAACCCACGTTCGACGCGTAACGATACGCGGCGCGTCTTCGCCTCCAACGACGCGCCGGGCGAATCTCCCTAGAAATTCATTCGATAGTCACGCGTTACGAGCGGGGTGGAAGAAGCCAGGCGGCGAATAATACTAGAATACGGGTAAAATTAGACGATACGTCTTCAAGGTCGCGGAAGACACATTACGCGCCTCGCAAGACCGATGTGTGACAATTGTAGAAACACGGGACGGGACGAGTAAAGGGCATACATAAATTATCGAGTGGAGACGAATATCCTATCGATCCCGGAATATCTGGTCTTCTTTAGCCTCGGCTTTCTTTTCCGTGGCGACGGCGGCGCCTTCGGAGCGTGCGGCGCGGGAGACAATTCAATTAGGACTGCCCATTGACCTATAGGCATTCCCTGGGACTATTAATAATGCCCATAAGGACGCATGGGAGCGGGTTGGGTTTCCACGGTTAGGCCGGGTGATTACGGCCTCATCGATCATCCCGGGACGTGGTCGTCTTCCATCGGAAGGTGGCCCGGCGGAGAGACGGAATAAATTCGAGACCGGTGCCCCGGGGCGACTTCTCCTTCGGCCACGGCGCCATATTTATAGGTCTTTAGGTTATCGATCCGCTCGGCGGAGGCCCTTCCGACTCCCGCCGAAACGGTTCGGTTTTCGATTCCTCCCCCTTACGCGCTACTAGAAATTAGCGTATTAGTCGCGTGTCTTCTAAACACCGGCTTAGATTAGAGTTTTGCGGCCGGGGTCCTTCTCTTAATCTCAAATTTGGAGGTGGTAATAGGAGTTCGAGCCTCTTTTCGAGCTCGGCAATTGGAGCCGGTCGAAGTTAACCCGGGCCTAACTAGTCGTCACCCGCCGGGATTATCGAATCTGCCGGAGCAAACGAGCTTCCTTCTAGATCGAACCAGCCGATGCGTGTCTTCGTTACTCTCTTCGTTCGCTCCGCGATTTGATTTTCCTCTAGAAATTCTCTCTTTTCCGCTTCCTTCGCCCGATCGATCTCCCCGCTTGGCGTACGCGTAAATCCGGGCGGAGGAGGGCGAGCGTTGGCTCGTGCCCGACACTTTCTACTGTCACTGCGGTTCGAATTTAATCGAATTTCACTACTCGTTCGTTCCACTTATAAACCTCAAAATACCTCTTTACGGCCTATTTTCCTATCGAAATTTCCATTCTTTTTCTCGTCTCCTCTTCCTCCTCCTCCCCCGCATCCGCCAAATTATCCTCCAAAACCCATCCCCGGTGTGACGAAAAGATAATTTCCCATACCGTTTCTGGTAACGATTAGCCAATCGAATTGGAGGGGTGAGGCGTTTTCCGGTACACCCAGAAGGGAACAATGTAGATATTCGGAATAACAACGAAACAATACGATCGGAAGTCTTTTACCCGGTTTAATTAATGTTAAAGGACTTAATTTAACAGTCGACGGGACCGGCGCTAAGGCCCTTTTCCTCCTGGTTTCCGCTTAGATAACGGTAACTAGGCCGGTAGGATGGTTAAGTAGGAGTTATATCGGCCAATTTTTTGGCAGGGTGAGGCGACTTTTGTAAGTAAATACTCCGGTATTGCGTTGGAAAGATTAAAGAGAGAAGTTCGAGTTACGTAAAGGCCCGGGGAAGAGCTTAGCGTTACGAAACGACGGGAAACAATGCGTCGGTTATGGAAGACGATAGACTGTAGGCCTATTTAAGAAGAGGGTAAATCTTGCCAAGAACTAGTTTAAACGGGGAGTTAGCGCGCGCCGGCGATCGATAGGCTTATCGAGTGACCTTTAGTCGTCGACCGGTCTCGATATATAACCCACCCCACGGGTAAAGTCCTACGTAACCCGCCGCACGCGTTACGCGTCCGACAATGGCCCGTGTCTGGGCGCTACATGGGTAACGACGGTCGATAGTCGTCGAGTTTGTCTCCGTCTAACAGATTGTACTCCCGTTACATTTATAATAATTAAACGCTTTCCACTCAAACCATTAATTCGTAAGCCAGGCGTAACGAATAAAAACAAATGGTTTCCATTTCTCGTTAAGCCCGGCGTAACGTTTTATTGCCGTTTCTTAAATGTTACGCCGTGTTTGTCCCAGGCCTAGTTCGATTCGGGTGACAAATTCCAATTCGAAATGTCCGAGTGAACTAGAATTGGACGGGGATTGATCAGTGTCCTCGCCGTAAACAATAGCGCTCATCAATCTCCGTTCCAATTCCGGATCCAATTTTCCTTCCGTCGTATCCGATTTTTAGTCCATTTTAACCGTAGGACCGCCCGTCCCCATTAGATCCGTAAATCGGGATTAGGAATCGACGGGATCCTGGATCCAATTTACCGGTTTTTCCATCCGTCCCACCTCCCGTTTCCGCTCTAATTTAGTCCTTAATCCAATTTTCTCCGGGAAAATCTAACCGTTCCGGATCCTACGCCTAATCTCCTCCGTCCTACATTCAATTTTTAGTCCTTCGTCCATGGGCCTAAGCGCGCCCGATCCAATTTCCATCCGGGTTAGTCCCGGATCCGATTTTCAAACCCAGACGAAATCCAATAAATTCTTAATCCTACATTCGATTTTCGGCCTTTTCCTTCGTCTTCCTCCCTATTTTACGTCGCGCGTACACACCTTCGGTCCTAGTCCGGGCGTTAAGTATTCCGGGTTTAGTCTTTGGAGAAAGGATCTAGAACAAAGGGCCGAAGATTTAATGGGGCGAGATTTAGGAATTGGGGGCGGAAAACTTAGATACCGGGTGTTTTCTTCCCGACGTTCTTACGGCGGATTTAGTAATTAGCCAGGAGGATTTGAATTTTAATTTCGATAAATACCAGACTCGAACGTAACCCGGGAGTCGGGGGGTGGAAAAGCGGGCGCAATTTAGAAAGCCATCGATAAAAGTCGAAGCCGTTAACGATCTTTTTTTAAAATATAACGGATAAGTTGCGAAATTTTTAAGTCGTCAACCGATAAAAATTGTCGAAGAATCGATTAAGAGTTTATTTTAGTTGAATTTATTATTCATAGAAAACGTTGGCGGCCCTTAATCTACTTACGTAATAGAAAATTCGAAAACGTTTTTCGATTAAATGCCCGTCGGGTCACGCTAAGGTCGTTCTCCTTCCTCGCCTCTTCGCCTAAATATTCTTTTCCCAATTTTTCTTTTTTTCTGGAAATCGGAAACCCAGTCCGAGAAATAAGGGCCGTAATTGCCAGAACGGGGGTGGGGAAGAGAATAAAATGGAGGAAATTCCAGGAGGCGGGGACGGATCCGGCCGGGTAGGTGGAAACGAAAGGTGGCCGGGCTGGACGGAAATTAACGGAGGAGTGACTGGAGCGAATTCGGACCGGAGGGGTGGCGGAGGCCGAACGGATTAAAACGGAGCGCGGTAGACCCCTAGGCGGACGGAAACTAGGAGAGGTTAGGTCGGTGGAGAAAGCGGAGTTAGGACCGGATTTTGGAGGAAAGTAAACCGGCTTAGGGCCCGACGTTTTCGCCGGCGGGTTAGCGGGTAGGGAAGAACCCTTTAAGTATTATATAGGTTAGGACCGCCACCCATCCCGATTCTAGGTAGACCGAGCCCGCGCCCCTTTGGCCATTTCTTTAATAAAATGCGGTCTCAAAAATCTTATTTTTCCTCGGTAAAAAGAGTATTAATTTGTAGGGAGTAAGAGGCGGGCCATCCCTAATTTGTCCGTCCGGCCCCAGAAAACGGCCGGGTCTAGACGGAAAGGAAGGATGGCCAGCCTAGAGAATGGGAAGGAACGAAAGGGAAGAAAGTGGGATCCGAATTACAACGGAGGAAATTGAAAGAGGTAGAAAGGAAAAAGGAGGAGATTTTGGCCCGTTTGCTGGAAAGTAAAGGGAGAAAAGAGGAACCGAGGTGGACGAAAATAGAACGATTAAACATAGAATTCCGACGATACATTTGGGACATTTGTCCGAAACCAAAGGAGAGAAAGGTGGAGGGTGGAGTCCGGGACAGATTATAATAGCGGTTCGAACGGTCTACGGGTGTTATACGCTTCGTGCGTAAAAATGTCCCGCGGTGAGGGAACGTAACTGCGGTATCCGACGGAAGAAGAGGCGGGCCGAGTCTAACTCGAACGAAGACGGAATTGGCTTTCCGAGACGGAGACCGTAACCGGCGAAAGGCCTCCGGTCCCCAGCTAGAGGGGGCGCCCGGTCTTCCCCCGCGGTGGGACGCTAGACCCAGTGTGGTCCGAAATTCCACGGGGAAAGCCGTAAATTTAACCGGTTTGTGGGAAGAAGCGGACACCGGGTCCGTTAACCGGCCGTGGGCCTAGGTAGGCTCGCGCGGCGGTAATTAGCGGGACGGGGGCGAAGACGGTCACGTCCGGGCGGCGGTGGCGCCGTTGCCGGCCATTAGTCGGCGGAATCGCGGCTCGGCGTCATTACCGGTAATGAAACGCCGGGGAGTGTCTTCCGCCCCCGGACTGGAAGGTAAAACGGCCGGACCGGCCCGGTCGTGCGCTTCCTCTTATCTGATGAGGACGGCGCACGATTCTCTCTCTCCGCCGCTTTCCCGGCGCGCGCTCTACCCGTAAGTAAACCCTCGGGGCCCGGGACCGGCCCGACGGGCGGAAGGCCTCTCGTCCGTGGAGACGATTGTCCGAAGGTGTCCGATAAAGGCCCCGCGCTGCGGCGGGGACGTTCCCTATCTGTCCTACAGCTTGTTCGTCGGCCCGTAAAACCTCCGTCACCCTTCGAATTATCGGCCGTTTGAGATAAGTCTCCTCCTTATCACCCCCGGCTTTAACCTTTCTCGGCCGGCCGCCAGGGGAGCTCCGGCCCGGGAGGAAGACGCTTGCCGGGCCCGGTGCAATCGGCTTTTCGGGCCTTCCCGGACCGAGACCGACGGCCGAAATTCTCCCGCCAGAATCCGAGACGCCTTTACTCCCGTTTGCCTTCCGGCCCCGGCCTAAACGGTTTATCCCATTAGTTCCTCTCCGGCCCGCCTCTCCATCTTCCTCTCCCCCTCGTCTCCCCCAAATTCCCACTTCGAGCGGGGTTCGGGTTCGAGTCCGGGCCAACCCGACCACGGAAACGGACTCCAGTCGGGAAATAAGGGTGAAACTTTCGCCCGTCTACAGAAGTAAGACGGGGACGAATTTGCCTACCCTCTTCTATGCCGGTCTCGTGGCCATTAAACGGAAGGAAATCCGCCTAGTTTTAGGGCCACCGACCTTCTTTCCCCCCGCCCTTTCCCGGCAGACGGCCCGACACCCTCTTCGCATCTTCTAACCCACCTCCCACCGTCGGTAAAGGCTTCCTCGCCTTTGTTAATTCAGCCGCGGGTGGCCAATTTTTGGTCCACTTTCGGGTTCCTCGTCCTCCGTTTCTGGCCGGCAAATGGACGGGCCCGTAGGTGTTGGGCCGGGTAAACGTTTTTTTTTTTTTTTACGATGGGAAGAGCGTCCTCTTATCTGCGCGCCCCATCGGCGGTGCCGGCCACGCATACCTGTTTCCCGGGACTCTACTAAATCTTAAGACGGACGAAGGTACATTCCCACACCTTTAATACCGGACCCGGTGCCCTCCTCTCGCTGGCGGGCCCTTAAAATAAGGGAGACGGGGGATAGCCGGGCGGATAGTTCGGTCGTTGCGCGGTGGCGAGACGAAGGAGAAAGAGAGTGGTAACCGATGTTTGTTTTGTTTCTCCCTCAGATCACTCAGCTGAAGATCGACTACAACCCATTCGCCAAAGGTTTTCGTGACACGGGAGCTGGAAAGAGAGAGAAAAAGTAAGTTCGAATCTAATACTCCGTAATAGACCGAGCGGTCGTCCGGATCGATGACCACTCGACGCGACTCCTGAAAGTGTTTTCTTGTCCTCTCCCATCGATCGCCCCGGTAAAAGCTTGGCTCCTTGTTAGCTCCTTCTGCAAAATTTATGGGCGCTCCCCCTCCGATCTCCATTTAAACGCCGTCCTCACGCTCGGCCACCGCGCGCGCCCCCGCTCCCCCCGGCCCAACCGGTTTTCCGCGCGGGGCCACCCGGACGCCTAGTGCCATCTGTCGTCGGTCGAGCCAACTAGGCGGTAGCGCGGGGGTCGGCCGGTGGGTTACTCTCTCGGGCAACAATTACACCACACATTTGTCCGAACAAAATGCGAATTTCCCAGACGGGGGGAGTGACATTTCTGCCAATAACGAAAGGAATTTTCTGCATTTCGCAAAATAAAGAAAACTCTGGGTTTACCTTAAAGTATTCCACCTAACTTCCGATTCTACTTCCGTCGTTTCGCTTCTCGCTCCTTCCGTATATCTTTTAACACTATTAGCTACAAAATAAACAATAGGAATTCTTAAGGAATTAACCGCCTATACTAAATGAAGAATAGGGGTGGGAGATGGTGACGGGCCGCCCTCGAAGGTATAGCCCCAGAAACGGAAGGAAGAAGAAAGTGTTATTAAAGTAGTTAGATCGAAGGGGGGAAATAAAGTGTGATGGGACAGTGGAAAGGTGGTCGAGGGATTCGTCAGCGCCCGCACCTCGTTTATTTAAACGAAAACAAATTACTGAACAAATTGCAAACGGTGATTTACGCGCTACATACATAAAGGTGTTACGCAAAATGGTTGGCGCGACAATAGCCACGCTTACAGACTATTTATGCGCGTGGCTTAAACGGGCCTAACGGAACACCAGTTGACGTGCCAAAATATAGATTCCGTGTACAAAGGTTGGTGAGATACCTTACATTTTGAGATAGATTTTATATACGTATATAATTAATCAGATACGCGGACTTTGCGAATGATGCTTAGCCAGGCAGTACAATCGTCTGTACCGAAGTACGGTGGTTACAATTTTTATACACGTGTCCTCGAGACATTACGAGAAGGACATATAATGCGCTAGCTATATGTCCAGATGAAATAAGTGCCGCGTAGAAAACTGTGAAGAGTGTAAACCAGCGCAGATACTAGGCTACGGGATGCGAGTATACCACATTATCCCACAATTAGAGATGCGATAACACCGATTGGCCGAGCGGTAGGGCCCTAGGAGAGGTTCGATCGAAGCGAATTTCTTAAGGGCTTTGTATATTTTGCTGTCGCTTACCGGAGTTTTCTTACGGCACGGGCATAGTTCGTTTTGTTTTTGGATTTCGCCGATTAGTTCCTTCCGCTGTAATTCATAGATGGGGCAGTTCCAGATGATACGCTCTGGGTCTTCGTCGAGTGCACGCGGGCACTTACCATCGGTCTTTGGCCAAAACCTCCTAAGGTAACTGCGAGAGTTGCCGTGCCCGGTCATAATTCGAGTCGTTTAATAAGTCTGGACCCGGTTTAAAACGCGTTAACTTTCCACCTAAAAAGACAATTTTAAAATCACGGCGCCTGGTGTTTTCCAACACTGGCCGGTGGGGTGGAAAAGGAAACGTATTAAGACAAAAATAAATTGAAAAATTGGTGGGGGGCATCTTTTAGCCCGGGCCTTAGCCAATCCATCGTACGTAACACCTGGAAGAAGTACGAAATACCCGGAAGGTCCGAAAGCGGCGGTTATCCGCGCTAAAAACTCCAGGGCACCGCCAAATTGTTTGACAACCCGACGGGCAGTCGGACCGGTGGAAGCAGCCGAAAGATTCGATGGTGGCGAAACGTACGGTACAGTTCGGTACGTATTTAAGACACTTAAGAGGAAGAAGAGGGCCCCCGGAGTCCGTCGCCAAAGAGTTTCCCGCATCCCGAGGCCGGGCGGACGGGTGGTAACAAGGACTAGAAGTCCCGAAAATCCCGCACCCTCCAACCGACAACAAATTTAAGAAGAAATTTTTTAACGAGTGTTCCCCGGCCGTCCGTGCCGACACCTACCGAAACAGTCTAATCCATTTTCTCCACCCGTGGAGAATTTCTTGGGATATTCGGCACGAGAAATATACCAGAAAAGTCGGGCGACGAGAATACCGCCTCGTCCCTCCGAGGAATCGGACTTTGGCTTTAAAATATTGGCGGGAAGGCCAATATTTTAAAGCCATTGGTGTTTCGGTGGGCTTAGGACCGAGTTGCTGGGATCGATGGATAAATATCGTCGGTTAGTTTCTTTTCTATCTGTAGAATAGGCTAGTAGCGGTTAATTCTCTGTCGTTTGGGGCTCCGTGGGAAATGGAGAAAAGGAGCCCCCCAGTGCCCCGACGTACGGGCGCCCTTAGTGGTAACGGAGGTCAGCCATCGTTCTTTGTTTTAGATTTACGGAAGAGTTTTCTTTAATTTGCGAAATCCGTGGCTGGTGTTCCGCTCGACGTCCAAAAAGCCTTCTTCCTCCCGGCTCTTCTTTGCCCCTTCCCGAAATTTAAACCCTCCGCGCCCGGAATTAATTGTCAAGATCTGACTCTGGAAATTGGCATTTTGTTTGGCCAAATCTCTTCTGTAAATGCCGTTTCTCCAATTATTCGGTGTAGAGAAACAGTTTACGCTCCCGACACTTTCCTACAGAAATGATTTCTGCCCGTCCGATAAAGGCACCGGACACGAGTTTGTTCCTCCAGCATCCACCCGATTACATTACCACAGACAATTCGATAACGTTATTTCCACATTCTACAATTATCACTGGTAAACGTTGGTCGTTAGCGGAATTTCTTACTCGCATTCCCACCCCTCATCCCCTCCAGTCCGGGGTATAAACGCCCGACGTTTAAGCGAATGGGAAAAACTTTCCTACGCCCGATGCACGGGCCGGAACACAGGCCGATAACGCCGGCGAGTAGGGCCTTTAGGAGATAAATCCCTCCGATACCAAAAATTTCTTAACACCCGCGCCGTAGCGTTTGTTGCCGACTTTTCTTCCAAGACACTGGCGTTTTTGGAACACGCGTTAACCGGGTGCGGGTGTATCCGGCGGTAACTGTAAAACCGGGTCGGCCCCTCCCGGGAGAATAGGGAGAAACGTTTTACGCCGGGCCGAGTCGGCGGGTAGTAGAAGAAAAAGGGGCGTGTACCGGGCCGGAGAAGGCCGGCCCCTCCCCGGACCGATAACCCCCGTCTCGGCCTTAATTACCGCCACCCCCATTTGGGTGTTGCCTCCGTCCACGGTTATTAATACCGATTTTCCGGAAAACTTTATCTACTCCGGTGGCCGGCCCCTCTTTCTCCTCTATCGGGTCTTAACCCGTTCCTCCCGTTTACGTCGTCCAAACGTTACGACGACGTAACCTACGACAGAAGAAACGGCGCGAGTTCCGTGTAAAATGCGCAACAACCAACACCCGGTTATTGAGCATTGTATGTCGGCTTTCGCTGGCTTTCGAGAATGTTTCTTGACAACCGCGTTACCTTATCCCGGTGGCGCGTGGGGCTATAATTTCGGCGCGATCGATAAATTATTGTCGTAGAGTAAATATCGAGTGTCTTTCTTCGTTAAGTACTGTACATAATGGGCCGAAGAAGATCCCGCCCCGCCGCGGCCACGGGCGCGTCCAATTAAGACAACTTTTGTATGGAAAGAAAGCTGCTGCCTCTCTCCTTCTCCCCCTTATCGTGCGTCGCATCAAAGGACCTGGCACTTTCGTACTTTGGTCGGGGGTGCCGTCGGCGCGGCTTCGTTACACCTCCGCCGTCTCGTTAAGACCCGCTTAAAAGAAGTGACGTAAACTCCCCGACAAAGGCCGGAGGTGGCTTCCTTTGGCTTTTGGCACTTCCGTCGCGTGCGGAGGACGATTTTTTCGCCACGCTTCTAATTAACAATGGAAGAATTTGGCGTTGGCGCTTCCGGGTCCTCCGCGCGAAGAAAGGCGCGATTTATTTTCGACTTTGGCGCCGAGAGAGTTTGGAAGATCACCAGATCCGGTGGGGAATTGATCGAGAGGAGACGACTCGCCACCGGCCTCTTTTTCGCCCTTTCCTTCCGCCGAAACACGCGCCGCGTATTCGAACTTCCGGCTGTGTGAAAAAAACAGTACCAACCCGAGGAGGTTCTCGGGGTCGGGGAGTGGTGGAGGCGCCACCCCTAAACGGGGAAAATTTGGGGATTTCGGGAGTCGGGCGGGGTGGCCGAGAAGACGGTCTCGGCGGAGGAATATTTACGGGTGGCGCAGGTTAAAGTGGAATTCCTGGGCTCCGCGAACATCCATTAAGTAAATAAATTCCGAGAGAGAAGGCTAATAAACACCTCGCCCCGTAGAAGAGGGGGGCCGGTCGATGGCTCCTTCTCCAATAAGCGATATCCCAGCGTCCCCGCAATTTACGACCTATTAAAGCCGTGTTTTATAGCGTCCTTCCCGCTCCTAAATCTAGTCCGACATCTCCTTCCTCTCCCCTCCCCCCTTCCCGTTAAACGCCGGGGCCGGCCCGACGGCCCCACCCCGGCTCCGTCGGGCCTCTAGCGACGCCCGACTCTTAATTAGGCGCTGGACTCACGAGGGTGTTTTTTTTTCTTCCCAAGCAGACGTCAAGCCCTGCTCCTCAGCCAGCAGCAACCTCTACCTCCGGCCGCTCCCACAACGACTTCTTCCGCAACGCCCCACTCGGCCCTGGACGCCAACGAGGAGTCCAGCGACGACGAGGAGAAGGTCGACGTCGGAGGAACGGCCGATCTACAACCCGTCTCCTGCGACAGAGAAAGTAAGTATGCGCCTCGCGCTCCTCCGCCCGCCAGATAACGGGTCTTTTCACCCCGAAACGGACGAATTCGTCGCCTCCGTCTGTTTCCTTCTACCCTCGAGGAGGGGGAAAGGGGCCGGAGGCCGGGGGCGAAGGTCGCCGCCGGCGTCGAAGAGAAGTGACGGGCCGTCGACAAACAACGCGCGCGAATCGAGGCGACGACAGCTCCGCGCAAACAACTGGGAATGTTTAGTGGCGCGAGAGCGGAGTCCGATCCGATACGGTGTCCCCCTTCTCGTATTCGATAACACCGGCCGACCCGTTCCCAATCTCCGAGTGACCGCATTTGCGTGCGCCGGTGGAGAATTTGGATCTTTCGTAGAAATAGCGTAGGGCCCGGGTAGACGGTGTTCGGACCGGGCTAAGGTGGGCGAAATGTCTTGGAGACGTTTCGCCCGCCTGTCACCCGACGCGAGAAAAGAGCGGGCGCGGAGGTCGGAGGTCGAGCCAAGAACTAATTCGGAGGTTTCGTTGCAGACGAGGAGGACGAGGACGGCCCTTCCAGAAGAGAGGGACAGAGCGACGCCGTGTCCAAGTACGACAAGAGCTGCGAGGGGGGCGACAAGCCGGCCGCGGCGGAGGACCAGGAGCGGATTTCGGGCTCGGAACCCGGACACGACGTCAAGACGGACGGTCGACAGGACGCCACCGGTGCGAAACTCAGGTGCCAACCCAACGTGGGCGTGGGCCCCACCCTTCCCCATCCTCATCTCTTGCCTTATCTCTATCCCCCGGCGCTGTATCCGGGAGGGATGGGACATCCGGGCCTTCACCTGTCTCAGCTGTTCCTTCCGGGCACCTCGTCGTCGCCCAACGTCTCTCAGCCTCTTCCCCTGTCGCTGTTCACCTCGGCGGGTCCCGCCGGTGCCTTCACCACCCCCCACTTCACGCAGTCGGCCGGCAGCCCCCCGAACTCTTCCAACCTTCCGATGGGACCGAGTTTCCTGCTGAACGCCCAACTGGCCTTCGCTAGTCACCCCATGTTGGCTCACGGGCTGCCTCCCGGCCTGGCCGGAACCGACAACGTGGTCAACAACCGGTTAAAGCAGCACCGGTTCTCTCCGTACTCCCTTCCTCTGACCACGGTGGTGTCGCCGGGGGCTCCCCCCGCCACCACCTCCACGGCCAAGGTCCAGTCGCCGGTGCCCTTCGACGGCACGCAGAACGTGCACAACCACGGATCCCCTCTGTTGAAGTACTCGGGGTCGCCCCACTCGGACAGTGGCAGCTCCGACGCCTCGGTGGGGGCCCCCGCCAGCAACGAACTGCGCAACATCGAGAACATGCTGAACGGGTTGGAGCGAAGACAGGAACAATTGGCCGCCGAGTCTCTGACCAGGCTAACGGACAAGTAAGCCCCGGACCACCCCCTCAGTTCCTACGTTCGCAGCCCGGTCGGGTGGCCCCCGGCCGCGGCCGACCTGTATAGAAGAGGCCGGATTCTCTCCGATCATTCCTTGTGTGTAGACCTTTCGTGACGCTCGTTTCGTCTCTACTCGTCGTCTTCGTAGGACCTAGAGATTTGGGAGTGTTCGGATGCCCGTCGAAGTCCGAGTCGTTGTGATAAAAGTCGCTCGGGACGAGGCCAGCGGTCGGCGCCTCCTCCCCTCACCTCCCGAGTCCTCCCCTCCGTTTATGCGATTATACGTAGCAATATAAGGACCTTTCCACTGTGCGGAGGACCCCGGAGTCGTAACCCGGTCGTCCTCCTACCCCGAGTGACTGCCGCCGGTGCGTTCGACTGTATAGGTTTGTCATATTTATTGACATTTTGTGTGTATCATAGTAGTGCTTGTATATGTTGTATGGGTCAGGGCAACCCTGACATTAAAGCTCTCGTTCATACAACACCAAACGTCTCCGGTGTCTGTCTGTCTGTCCTCTGCCGGCCGCGCGCGCCGCGTCGCGCGATCAATGGCGGGATCGTTATCCCGCGTAACGAGGCGCGTTTTGAACCCTCCGCCGCCTCCTCCCCGGTCCGTCGCCATGACGACCGACGTGGAGGACCGAAGAAAGAAAACGCGTCGGACGCGGTCCCGCCCCTGCGCCGGGGCATCCGCTGGCAACGGAGGGCGTCGTCGCCAGAAAATTATTATCTCATCAATCACGCCAGTGCGTCGGTCCCGGGACGGGCGACGACGCCCGACACGCCCCGGGCCACTCTTCCGCCCGCCGCGTCGCGCCGGGCGAACGGTCGCGCCGCGCGTCACCGGCGCCGCGACGACTAATCCGGCTATATATTAATGCGAAGAGACAATGGAAGAGATGGTATCTCGGCGGTGCAGGAATGCGCACGGCTTTGCCACCGAGTGACGTTTCGCCTGGGGAGAGTCGTCTCGGAATTTTTCGCATTAGATAAAAGTTCGGCGTGGCTCCGGTTCGGGTCGAACTTCAAAAGAGCTGAGCCGACGTTAACTGTAGAAAACGGCGGTTACAGTCGCCATGGCAACGGGAGGGAGAGTCGGCCGTCGGTAATTGCGAGCCCGGATGGCTTGTGGAGCACCGCCGACTCATATCGGAGAAAGCGGAAGAGGAACCAAATATGTTCGGGCCGTCGAGCGCGATACCCTCTTGTCGCGCTCCGACGTGGTCGTCGGGGCAACGGGTAAACACCCCACCACTTCACCCGCGACAGATAAGCGGCGGACGGTCTTTAGTGTCGACACCTTGCCGGTCAGATAGAGCGGAAGACGGCCCGTCTACGCCCGTGCCTACCTTCCTCCCCCGAGACGGCCCGAGCGGGGAGGGCGGAAGAGCGCGAGCGGTGAGAGGATCAGAAGTGGAGATTGTGACGCGCAATCGATAGTCGGATAAATCTGGGTTGTCGACGTGATTGCACGGCGTGGACCGTCGCCTAGGATACTGCTGACGAGCACGCCGAACAGACGTCTCTAGGCAACCGGTTTGCCTCCTCCGGACGAGGAGCTCGGCAGTTGTCAGAAAAACATCTCGGGTCTGACGACGGAAAAAAACAGCGTATAATAATAAAATAAACTGGTCTTGTTGCGCTTCACTAATGGCAGAATATTTAATTGGTCGATTGAACTCGCAGTTCATGAAGAACCCCTCGATTGAGCTTAAGAAAGATCCCGCACCGGCGCGAGATGAGTTGCCTCCTTTGTCTGTCGCACGCATCATTGTGCAAAGGACGGGCAATCCTCCACCGGCAGGCGCGGGTCGGCCCGTATTTGCATTGTGTCGTCGTGTGTCATTTTGGGTTGTTTGTTCCGCGGCGCACAAAAGAGCTCCAGCCATTCGTAACGGCCGTCCGGCAGTTTTTCCAGCAGACGTCACAATTTTCGGCATCGATCCCGACGGAGGAAGGGGTGGCACAAAAACTGCTCGTTATCCGCGCGGCAAAACTTATAGTTCGCAATTACGGGCGGCTACTTACGGGGACACGTGACGATTCGTGTCCTACGGAAGAGCTCTTCAATTTAGTGGGAACAACCGACAGAATTGGCACCATCAAGCACGGCGAGAGCGGCAAACTAGCGCCATTTTTCTCCCCTCCGCTTCGGCAACCCGGGCGACACCAACGGGCAAATAGTGGGCTGATGAGCGTCGTTAGACCGTCGACCGTTTCCATCCCCGAACGTGCCCCAGCCAGTCTGTCACACACACACTCGGCTTGGCACTGGCGGGGCGCAAACTAATGATGTGCAAAAGTAGTGCCCGCGCGGGTCGACTTTTGTCTTTGGTCAGCGATAAGACGTCTCTCGCCGCTAGGTAGGGCTTAATGGCTACCGTGTCAACAGAAAGCGCAACGTCGCGCTCGTTACCGGCCTCCTCCTCCTCTCCTCGCACACCCCGGGGGAGACCGGCGGACGGTCGTCGTCGCCGCCGACGCCGACGCCGCGCGGCGCGGCGCGAGGCAGCGCCGGAATGTTAACGAGGTGGAGTCCGACACAAAGGAGGCGAAGAGCGGAGTCGGAAGGAAATGCCGAGTAATTATTCACGCCCCCGGATAGGTTTTCGTCGGCCATTACGCTCAATCGGAGGCGAACAAACCGGCGATTCTCGCTGGCTGGCAGCGCCGCGTCCCGGCGTCGTCTCACCCCTCCAATATTATTACCGTTGCAGACTTAATTGGAACTTATCGGCTTTGCCATCTCCCGTCCGGGATGCGTCGGTGAGTTGGGGAGAAGCCGGGACAGAGTGTCGCCTAGCGCTCGATCTAACAACTTGAAAGACACACATTGTTTGTTTTCCTCCGAAAGAGACTCCGCTGGCCCCGGGCGAACCGTCTAAATATGTCAACCTTTCCGGTTGGTGGTTGTCTCGCGCTTTCAAGAATGTAACATTAGGTGAGCCAGCTTATCTTCCCGCGCGGAAACGTCTCCCTCCGAGGGAGAGGCAAAAAACAAGCTGGCAACCGACTGAAGTTTCACACTTTCCGGCCCAACACGGATTGGTTGATGCCCGATAAGATAGACACCGAATCTCCTTCTAATTCTCCTCTCCCCTCCGTCGCCAATTGCGCGCGCTCGGAGAAAGGCACTTCCACACCTTGGGAAACGGAAGAAAGGCCATTAATCGCCGGTCTAGAAGAGCCAGGCGCGCGCCGCAGACACCAAAGTGCGCTCTATTGTTCTCGGGCTACCGGAACCCGGATGTGGGAAATTCGGACGCGTAAGCGCGGGAGTCGGGAAGAAACGGAGGCGACGACACGCCGAGGTGCCGGATTTCCACGCCGCGCGCGCGCGCGATATTTTTAGGTGTCTCCCAACAAGTGGCTTTTGTTTCGGGCCCGTTGCGTCACGCGGCGAAAATTTTCGCAGGGCCAACGGCTTTTGGCAATCGGAGTTTCCGTCCCCGTCCTAATTCGGATCCGTTCAGACCATTGTTTAGTTTAACGGTGTCGATTACCATCCGGCGCGCCGGGGAAGCGGTTATTTTTAACGACGCGCGCCGAGACAAGATGGCCACCGGGAGATAATATTCAACCCGAAAAGAGAATTTATTTATTTATTTGGCCCAACGCTCTTAACCGTTTTATAATCCGACATGATATACGACTGCGCGGTCCTCCCGGACGAGTTTGGTAAAACTAACACGAGCGTACTTAGGATATTTGAGAACGGTTTGACCCCAGAGCTATCGTTCCCCGGGGCAAACAGGTAGGTCGGACATTTGCGCCGAACAATGGACCGGCTTCATTTGCAGCCGATCCGGTTGCCGTCGTGTTACTCGATATCTTTAAACAAACGGAAAGTGCGCTACGACCCGTAATTAGGAAGGACGAAAAGCGTTTACGGCAGACCCGTGGGGAGTGTTTTTTGCTCTTCTCTTCTCGCCCACCTCCGGGCACAATCCAAACTTCCCTAACGACCCGTCCCGTCCGAAATTCGTTGCGCGGGAGTGGGCCAAAAAAGCCCTCGACTAATCGAGAACGGCGATGACGTCACTGGAATTCCCGCCGAGAAGAAGGCGAATATCGGCCAAAGTTGAACGAATCCGGAGGCGGAGATGGCACATTTCGCGCGTTTCCAGGCGGGGGAGGAACGGGGGTTTCCGCATCCGGGAACCAGCGCCGAATGCGAATCTCTGGCTAATCGAGACTTCTACGGGACCGGGGTGTCGATCGTTTAATTTAATTTCCACTCCCATCTTACCTGCGACTACCGGTGTTGGGGGGGCAACTCGAACGACCGGTGACGTACGTGCCGGCGGTACCAATTTCCCACGCGCGAGGTTTAATAGTAAGAAAAGGGGATCGTAAATACTGGTGGTGGCACCGTTAACACGCTGGTAAAAACTCGGTATACGGAATACCGGGGAGTAAATTTGTGACGTCGCGGCTACGTTCGACTCTTAACGCGTTTAACGTGGTAAAGATGGTATCGGTAGTCGAAGTCTTCTCGGTAACGTCGAAATGACTGGCGCTCCTCGTGGCATCGATCCGGTTTAAGCCGTTTTCTCGTTTATTCCGTGGAAAAGTGCTGTTTACAATCGGCGTACCCTCCTTTTTAATCGCGGATTTGAAAAATCGTCCCGTCCGGGTTCTTACGGCTCCTCGGAATTGCCCGACGACTCCTTACCCTACGCGCCCGCGGCCACCACTAATTCTTTTTAAGAATATGGGTGTGGGGAAACGGTTCTCACATCCCCGGCCAAAAATACTAAACCTTTCTGGATTCACAAGTATTTTAAAGTACCGTTTTCGGTACATCCCAAGTTTTACTAAACAAGGTAACCCCGGTAGCTTTTTTAAATATTTACAAAGGTACTTTCGTACCAGAGGTTTTGGTACTTCGACGTCCCCTTTGTTTTTTAAAGTTTCTATTTTCATTTGGCTGTAGATTAATACGCCTTCCGTAACAGAAATTTTTTCCTCCCGTTACTTTCTATTGTTTTCTGGTTCATCTACAATATTAATCTCGTTTTTATTCACGTTTGCCCCATTTCGCCCGGGGGTGGAGATGGTAACCGTTTTTGAATTCTGCGCCTCCCCGCTCGCCGCCGGTCTCACCTCTTTCTATAACGAAATAATAATAAATAATTCAAAGAATGAGTCGTAAGATCGAATTTTTCTCCGTCGCACTTCCTAAGATCACTTCGTGTTGATTTTAAAGTGGAACAGATAACCCCTATTTAAAAAAAAAAAAAAGTTATCTGACGTCGATCAGGCCGCGATAAGCCCTGGAACGACCCTCTTTCCGAGTAGATACAGGATTTCTTTACTGGCTTCTGACGTTTTAATTTAGTAAATTTACAATTATTATTAATAGAAGAACGTAACACGGCGTCGTTAAACTCGGTTTCTTAGACCGAGTCGTATTATTTTGAGGGGGTGAATGGCGCAAACGAGTTACGCTTAGCCTCCACGTAAATCTGTGGTGACGTGTAATCGTGGAAAATGAGACGTTCCCTTCAAAACTGAAGGCGAGATGTTCGATGCGATATTTCCTAACTGCTGGTGTGCATCCTATACACAAGAAATGCCTGGGGCCTTTTCTTAAGTAGCCCGATGTATAATAAATTTCTACTCCTTACGAGCAGAAGACAAAGGAAAAAAATATATAGTTTAAAATAATATAAAGGAAGATCGACGGGACGGACGACTTTATACCAGTCACGCGACTAAAATTTACAGTAAAACAATTGGAAAAGAACGTTTTTCCGTGTTATTTTCGTTGACGTTGCCTCGTTTCTTTTTCTCTTTGCTCTTATTTCTTTATCGTTAAGAAGCTCGTTTTGTGTAAGCCCATTTTTCAACCGGCCGTCGAAGGAGAAAGAGCAACTGTTTATAATGTCTTTTGTTAGTTTTTACAAGAGAAATACTACAACTTATATACAATTGTATACAAATATAGATTATGTGACTCGACAAACGTTTACGTTTGCACTCCGAAGAAATCAATGGAGGAGCACATACCGTATTTTTCGATTTTCTCGAGTGTTTTATTATTTTATTCCACGTGGAACTTAAGTTACTCGTTCCAGCGTTACTTAGTACGGGAGCACTCGATGCTTTCTCAAATAATGGAACGTCTCGTCTCCTCTTATTGTCAATTTTCATCCGGTGAAGAAGTCATGTGCCGACATTTTGTATCGTTTTCCTGAAAATAAAACCTATCCAACACTACCGTTGCCTTATCATTTCAAAGTTTAACTCGGATCAAATTAGAAATTACACAATTTCTAACACACGAATCAATCTGCCCGGTGTTAACGCCAACAAACATATCGACGACTGGTAAATTTGCTGTATTTATCTTATAAATGCCGGAAGGTCGGAGGTCAGATCTTCTAGTTAAAGAGGTTGTTAGCCTAAGGAGAGGTGTTTTTCTGTTATTTAAAGAACATTTTGGCGGTACGACAGTAAGACAAATAAAAAAAACACATCCTTCGGATTAATCGGACCGAGCAATTACACCCCGATAGCTTAATTGTCTCGTTTAACAGCGAGAAATTAACTCTTCGCGAAACGGTTAAATCCCATCGGCCGGTTCGCATCGTCATTCCTCCACCACGTCGCGCCGCGCGCCGCTTACGTAATACCGTCCGTTACGTAAACGGCGCGAATCTAGAGACGGAGCTCGGGGTCACGGGGGGGCGGAGGTCGATCGCCGGTCACCCGAGCCCGAAACCAGAATGCCACATGGCCGCGGCTTCGGCGTAAAACGAGCGTAATTAATGGCGGCTGCGGCGTCGCTCGCTAGTGTAATGTGGCCGCGGCGCGCTTTCATCTTCACTTCCGTCGTTTTTTCGAAGAATTTTTTGTCGACTTCGTTACCCGACACGCGCCGGTAATTACGTCTGCCCGTAATGAATTGTCGTCCGGATCTTCGAACCCGTCTCTCGACGTACAACAAGCTCGCGCTCGTCCAGGCGGAACGAGTCGAGTCTCTCCTCTGCCCATAACGTACAGTACTTCGACGGGCGAAAGTCCCAAAGAATTTTCTCTTTATTTTCGAGTATCCCTAAGGCCTAGATTATTGTTCGTAGGGTTCAATTACGGTCTCGGAACCCACAGAGAAGCCATTTAGCGCGCGAGAAAGACGATTTTTTCCGGAAGCGGGATACAGGATCCTCGAACAGAAGGGACGATTTATAAAGCGGAAGAGAAGGAAAAGCCGAAGGTCGATGTAGCTTCCTAGAAGCCAGGAAAAAAATGGCAGAATTATTTTTTGTACGCGACGATATGTAAGAGTCAATGGAGTAGAACCGAGTGTCGCGTCACGATTAATGTAAATGTGAGTGACTCGTTCAAAAAATCGTCACTGGTTTCGCTCCAGTCGTCGTTAACCGCTCGTTATCCACTCCGATATTTCGGGCTCCCTTTTATTCCTCTTCGTAATAAAAATGTCATCTCACAAAGAATAACCTTTTCCACAATATTACGTCGTAGTTACCCTATTCTCCCACTTCCGGTGTACTAATCACGCGTACGCACTTCGTCACACGCGCGATATACCACTGGATGTAAGCGTGTACGTCGTCCATTTTTCTTGTAAGATGGGTGGCGTGCGCTGGTCTTCACGCGCACTAAACCTAGTCTACGTGCTAAATCGTGTAAAGAGTTACGTTCTTCTATATAAATCCTCTTCTGTAGGTTTATGCAACGCGTGTTTGCGCCAATAGGTGCGTAAGTAAATAAGTAATAACGTTCTTCGCTCCGGTTACCATCGATTTCGCCCGGTTAAACGAATTACGTGGCCTTTTTATAACACGTGGTCGAAGAAACACGAACACTAGCAAATCGTCGGGGCGGTATTTTTCTAGAATTAATCAAAAACAATAAAATGTTTTCCAATTTCAAAGATTTTTCGAGTGTTTCCAGCCACTTGGAAGTTTTTGCCCGTTCGAATGAATTTTACACTTCTATTTCTAGACACAAAAAGCCATTTGTTCTTTTTAATTAATATATCTGTTATATATTAAGTCCAATTAAATTTCTTTATCACTTTTTATTCAATTACCAGAAGAGCGGAGAGTATCCACTTCTAACGAAACTGCGCGCTATACACGGTTCGTTCACACAACAACTGTAAAAAATTAGCTTTGAAGGCGAGTTTACTTCTTGCACAATCCGTAAAAATATAAAGAATCATTCAGATAATTGCTACAGTTACGTGAAATCCACGTATCGTGTTGTACGACAACCCTTCTTTCTATTCCTCGACCCGTGTTCCTAGCGCTGGGTCCTTCGATTCCGTACACACCGAAGCTTCTTTTAACTCGAAATACTTAAAATGATAATAAAAATCTGTAAAAGACAAATTCGAAAACACAAACAAGGCGCCATCCGTTAATTGAAGAGCGAACGTCCAGGTGGATTTATTGTGCAGTTTGTAAGCGGGTGTGAGTTTTTATTATTACTTTTTACCATTTATTGTGTCTAATAATCAAGGAAAACTTCGGTAAACTCGGTTTCTTCGATTATAAGAAGTCGATTTTCTAAATTTGTATACCTTTTATCAATATATATATAAACCGATAAACTATAATCGATTGGCATAATGCCGACTCTCCGACTACAATCGACCAATTTGAATACGTTTTCTGGACTATGATTTTACTAAGATCCTTGGCGAATCATCGTTACCGAGGGGGAAGGGAATCTCCAATTTTGAAGGGGTTTCGTCCATAATTTTTGATTTATAATCGAATTTTAAGGGTTTTATAGTCACGCTCTTTTCTCGATCACTGGCTTTAGGTACCGATTAATCGGTAGGCAGAAGTTAGTAGAGACTAATAAGAGGATCGTAAAATTAGAAACAGTTTAATAGAGAACACGTCGAGGACCTTCGTGAGTAGATTTTTAAGTAAGTAAATACGGCCAATCGGTAATTGTAGAAGGTGAGGCACAGTTTAGGATACACAACATTTTCATTAAAATATTCATGGTTTTATTTGTTTCTTAATACGATTTACATGGATTTTAATTGATGAAATACTCGACTTTTCCGTAAAGTACCTACAAATATAACTCTCGATGTGTACAATCCGCAACAACACCAACTTTGCTGATGAGCTTCCTCGCCTTCAGCCCAAACACGGCCTATAAAGATAAAATGGCGTTACTTTTTGTTTCTTACACAATATTTTCGTGTATTTCGAAACATAAACCGTTTGTCACGCTGCTTCGTTTCAAATCGAGACAGAATGACCCTTGTTACAGTATATGCAGTCGGTATTAATGAAATCAACGGCTTTACACGTTTAATACGTATAAATATTCACGGATAACCGAATATCGGATTTATAGGTAAAAGAATGAAGCGAAAATTCAGAAAAGCAGAATATATGTGCCGTGTTTTCGGTTATCCGTGCCTGGTTGCGCGTATAATACTTCAAACTCGGGTATTCGGTCCGTATTCTTCGATTATCCGCATCATTCTGCAAGATGCTTAACCTATAAGTTATATATATGAATGAAGTTCTGATTTATCGTGCCCATCTTTCGACTCGTGTATTCGGGATCTACGAAGATTGCCTGGATCAAAAGACTTCTTTCTTCACTCCCCTTTTTATTGTTCGTGGCAAAGTCGATAGCTCTACACAAAAAGCGGAGTGGACCCTGTCCTGCTATCGATTGTCTCTTCCGATCGAAGGCCCTCTTCGCATCGACACGAGAAGGAAACCAAAGATGGAGGAGGCCCGAATTTGCTTTCTGTAGGGCCACTTCTTTGTCTATCCCGTGAAAATCCAAAAATGGGCCCAAAGTCTCCCTCGGTCACGGGAGAGATGAAGTCTCTTCGCTTAGCAGCTGCGGCAATTTGTCATCATTCTCTTCGCTCGCCATCGCCAATGACTCGACTGTTCCTAAGACCCATAACACTGACTCCATGGGAACGCATAAGAGAAGACTAGCGCATCTTCTATAACTACATTAATATAATTAAAGATCGCGTCGAGTCACGAAGCACGGGTTGAATCGTGTGTCATTGTATTTTCACGTGCAACCCTATGCTCAATGAACGAGACCCGGACGAAGGTGTATGAACTATAATTCCGACGATAAAGGGGCCAAATTTACTATTTGAAACAAGAAAAGAGGGTGGGTTTACTTTTATTCAATAACTAAATACAGTATATAGTTTTCGAGTTGGAACACCGTAGGCCTTTGTTCCTATCTACACACCTGATGTAGAGTGGATGTTATGGTGTGCTGCTGCTGTATAACAGGTACCGTACAATACGTTACGGGCTTAGTTAATTAGCCACGCTCTACGATACTTAACATCTCGAAAGTAAAGGAAATTAATATTTTTATGTATCCCAATTACAAACAGGAGTAACAATAGTAGATTTTGATTCCTTTCCCAACTTAGCGACGACTATACAGAATAAATAAAGTAAGAAATGCATTTTTATCCTTTCCGAACACATTTCTAGAGCATTAGAAAGCCTAAAAGGCCTCAAATTGTCCCACTTAAAGTTAATTTGAGACGCTTTAGAGGCTTCTTTAAGGCCTTTAACAGTATAGAAACAGTAGAAAGATATATAGATACGGGGTTTATCGTTACGTATATATTAATTTAACAATAGTAATAATAAGAATAATTTTAGCAGACGTCATAAAAATAAATATTAAAGTTACATATGGTCCGAGCCAATGATTCTGTAGAGAAAACACGGGGCATCACTATTAAATTTTCATTTGATACACGCAATTAAAGGTTGCTACAAAGCAAAAATGCTCAACAAACACAGGAAATTCTTGGCGGGGGGAGAATAAATGCAATTTGCAGACGTGGGACAAAGGACGGGTGAACCCAAAAACGAGACTTCTTCCTTTTTAAAAAAATGTTCCTAATGTAATTCCAAAAGTTAATACAAAGCCCCTTCCTTACCGGTTTGCTTCTCAAGTTTGTGAAGTGGTTAATGATGTTGGGCGGCCCAATTACGCAATTGGAGTCATTTTGGTGCCTATTGTGTCTAGCCCAGACTTTGTTCACTTCTAATACTTGAATGGGGCTAAAGTGAACTTTGTTTCCATACATTTTAGTAAAATGTATATAAAACGGACTCCCCGGATCACTTAGTTTACTCTGGCAAAGGCACTCTCGGTTATCCGGTCTACTGCAGCGGTGTTCGCCTAGTGTTTTCTCGTGTGACGAGCTCTTCGTAGTTAATTTCGTCATTCGCTAGTCCAAATTGTGTCGTGTTTGATTTCACGAACTAGAGGTAGAAACTGCATGGATTTTTAAAGATGCTGACTTTAGGTTTCGAAAGAGAACAGCCAGTTTGGTTCCTTCTGTCTAATATAAAGAAGAATTCCCGCATCCGACTGCCGGAAACCGGAAAGCTCGTTTCCACCCGGAACGGCGCTGGTCGGTCGGAGTGGCTATTTCGTCTTCCCCCCGCCAACGGAGCGATCGATGCGAGGCGCCGCGCGACGCGGCGAGGCGCGGAGAAACGCTTTGTTAAGTATAGGGAACGGTCCGACCGGCCCCGTCGGGTTATAATTGGGTCTGGGTCTGGCGGAATGCGTGTCTTTGGTGCGACGAACGCGACCCAGGTGGGCCGCGACCCTGGGTAGAACCGACAAAGAGAGATGGGCGCGCATCCGCGCCCGGCCAGCCGTCCGCTAGTAGTAACCGAGAGTGGAGCGCGACCTCCGACTCCTCCCAGTCATTAGTGGGAATGTGGCACATCTGGTGCCGAAGCAAACTATTTTTGTTCCGATTTGTTTCGGGTGGCGTCGTAATTTGTCTGAAATGGTCACCGCTAACTCGGCGGCGCGACCTTCCGCCAGTCCGGCCGCGCGCCGGAGGACGCGCAGACTGGAAAAAACCCTGGCGCGCTTCTTTCCCATCCCTCCGAGCGTCGATAGACATCTATCGCCATCTGCTCCGGACTTATCCCGATTTATCAAAGTAAAACGGTGTCTCGTGCAGCATATCTTACCCCCTAATCGTCGGGACATGTTACTTAACAGATGCAGGGAGGACAGAGAGCTCCCTCTCTGTCTCTTCCTCTCCCGTTCTCGGAATCTCCGCTCCTCGTCGTTAACGCGCTTCTACAGAACGAAATTTTCTACCCTAATTATCCGACGGGAATCCGTCTCGACCCCTACCCATTCGACAATTTGCCGTGTCTCGTCCTTCTCTCTTTCGTCCCGGTTAATCGAATTCTTATTCCCAACACCGAATCTATTTTGGAAAAAGACGGCAAAGTTGGAAACTCCTACCGTTTCTACTAGAGAATCGCAGGTTTTTAGACTCGAAGGGGGTTTAGGTTATGTTAGATAAGCCGAACAGAAGAGAGCTAAACGGCCCGTCGGTTCCGGGTCGGCACTGGAACACATTAATAAACACTCGTTAACTGGTCTAACGATGAGATATCCTAATGTGTTAACGGATGCAGACAAGGTCGACTAACAAGCCGCGCATTCTGAACCGAGTGAGAAAACACATCTTTTAGCCTTCTTTCTGTAATGTTACCTTTAGGCCCGGTAATCCGTGACGTTGTATCGATTCCCCGCTAAGCGTAACGTAGGTAAAAGTACTGTTCGATGGTGACAAACGGCCGCATCTTTAACCATTTTTCTAAATTAAAAGTGGCGTAACGGCCGAGACGGCCAGGAAGGAAGTTGCCGTTAGTCATCGGGAGTAATAAATGTTTATAAAAATCAAATCACGAGTTTCTTACACTTTAATCTCCGTTGTTGTAAGCGGAGTGGCGGTTCCAGCAAACCGCCATTTGCCTGGATACGGTCGTGCTTCGAATTTAATTACTTAAATTGCCCGTGTATCTAGATTCGTATCGCCGAGATTCGCATCGAGAAGAGAAATGGGAGCGGTTTCCTGCCGAGAAAACGACATTCGTCGAATTTCTTTGCGTATTTATAATGTAAGATGGAGAAATTTCGCAGCTCTTTCTTCGGTTGGAGGAAGCCAGATTCGTCCATTTTTCATCCTTTTATTACGTAATAAGTAGAAAATAAACTGCAGATTGCGGGTAAAAACCGGGCTTCCGTCGACGAAACACACGCCGGCAAGTTTCGGATTTAAATTAACCCAAGATCTGACAATACAAGAAACTCTCTCCCATTGCGGCCGTGCTGCCATCTATCGACGAAGAAGGGATTTTTGTTTTTTTCCCCCTCTCGAAAACAAAAGACGCCAACCTAATTGTTTACGTATAATTAATATTAATTAGACCGGGATGAATATTTTAAATACGCCTTGTACCGCGGCACCTACGCGGGACTTTAACTCCCTTGGATCCACGGTTGTAAGAATGAAAAAAAGAGCTCACGGATGCAAAACGCGTGTGGTCTTCACCTTAATCACCTCCGTCGCCCGGGAAGAAGGGTGATAAAATTCGCGCCTCGTACGGCCAAATTTATGAAAGATCGCTAGTCTAGAGGCGCGTACCGCCGTCTGTCTATCCGTTGTACGCCGAATAAAAGAAGTACGCCTGGCGTAAGATACGAAATTTCTGGCGTGCCCTTCGTTCCACTCAACTCTTTAAGTAGCAACAACCGCTCTGTCGTCATTTGGTCGCCTGTTAATTGGGCGTCGCGCAAAATAAACAATTTATCTATCGGAGCGGCTGGTTTCTATCATCGGTGGGCCTCCTCTGTTCGACTAACTCCTTATCGCCCGTGCCGGGCACTTCTCCTCTGCCCCGGCATTCCGACAATCGCCAATTGATACCTGGCCTTTAACCCCATCCCATCGGAATCGAACCCTTACCTTACACCGAGTAGCGCGGGGCTTTCGGATTTCTACAATTGCCCGGGTCTGGACAAGTCCGAGTTACGTGGCGGAAAAGGGGAGACGTCTTTGCAGTGTTTAGAAACGGTCAAACTACGTTTACTCGGAAGATTTTAAGTATGTCCGCGGGGTAAGACGATCGACGCACGACGCCGAGGCGAAATCGGGTGCTACCAGGTAGATAAGAAAGTTTTTATCACCCTCCTCATCGGTGGAGAGGTGAAATGTTTGGTTTTGTGGTCTACGAACCAATCGTCCCTTTTCTACACCCTGTTATGATACTTTCTCACTATTCTTTGGCTCTGTATCTTCCAGAACTACCCAAAGTATCGAG